CAATAGTTTTGAAAATCAGTATCATAGATATTTAAGACAAGTAGCAACCATTTAGTATCTGATCTAAAATAAATTAGGGAAACCATGGAGGACAGCAGAGGTCATAGGAAGTATTTTTCTACTCTATAACATAACCTGTGTGTTTCTGATTTTTCTGTATGTTGTATCTTTGTGTTTGTGGGTGTATGTGCTTTAGCATAAATAGACTGTGCATGCTTTCTTTGGATCACATGACCAGGAGGGAGGGGCTTAGAAGGGAGCAATTGTGGTTTTCTCCACAATGAATTTCTTGGGTCTGTTGTTCTTTAACTCAATGTTTGTTGTACTTCTCTCTCTCTCATTGTGTTTCTTGGAGAGTTACCTTGCTGATGAACAGACACAGATAAAGTCCTGAACTTCCTTATATAATTTATTTCCGACATTTTTTGAGGTTGGGAAGAGTAATTTAAGCAAAAGCATAAACTATTTTTCATGCAATTATTGCATTCCTTACAGCGATATCAGGAACTATCCGCAGTATAAATATAAACTTTGAAAAAAAACAGAACAATAAAGGGCCCAATTTGATGGGGGGGAGGGAATTAGCAAACGAATAGTCATGTTTGAAAGAGAGACTGATCAAACTACAATCTGGAGAGAAAGAGAAAAATTTCCCTAATGTATTCATCTGGGGAAGGTAAATGGCAGTTTCCTTCCTCCCTTCGTTCATTTGTTCCTTCGTTCCTTCCTTCCCTCCCGCCTTCCCTCCCTCTCTCCCTTCCTTCTGCCATGCTGTACCATGCCTACCAATTCTGTATAGCATAGAAACAGAAATTTTAAAACAACAAACCACAATGGGACTATAGGGATACTCCTCATCTGAGAGTACCACTATTGTATTTTGTGATTGTTTTAACAGGCCCAAAGTTAATATCCCCCCAAATATTCCATCAAACTACCCTGCTAAAAATTTTTATCAGGGGTCATTGCATAGTGTGTGTGGATAATTGCAGATGCCTCCAGATGGAACTCCTTTCGGGGGTGGGACTGTAAGCCAGCCTTCTCTCCCTGATCCCAACAAACAAGTTGTAGGTTTAAACTCAAAGGGATTTGCAGTGAGCTAATATACAGTTTCAAAAATACTGTTCTGTGGCTTGCTGATGTATTCTTAATGACAAACCAACGATGGAAATCATGCCCTTCTAATAAAATAAAAAAAACTAAGCCAGTCAACCACATAATTCATTGCAGTGAGCAAATGCACCTAAAATACCTATTTTTTTGTGTGAGCTGTATCTTGCCTCCAGTCTCAGATGCACTCTGCCCTTTAAATACCGGTTGATGAAAAAATACAAATTGGAAGAGTCTATTCTGCTGTTGTGCTTGGCTGTTTCCCTCAGGCAACAGCTCAGACAACACTTGAATTGGCAAGTGTGGGAACAGAGTGCTGAACTGGAAGATTTTTGATCTAAACCAACAAGCATGTTCTACAGTTTCATGGTGGCTATCTTTACATTTGAAAAAAATGGGATGTATTAATACTGCAGGATCCAATCTCCATAAGTTTGTTGTATGTGGCTTTTTAGATGTTGATTGGGGTGTTGATGGCTGGCTATTAAGCCATTGGCTGTTGTTTGCTTGCGCTGCCAAGTCCTCACCTCCTTAGCTGGTGGTCAATCATAGCTGGCATATCAACAGTCCAATCAACATCTAAAAAGCTGTATAACAACAGGCGCCATATAAATACCACACACAGAATAGCCCAAAGCATACACTCTGTTGGAAAGAAGTTCCCTGAAGATGGGCTCCAACATGAGTCAGAAAGCTTGGAAGACTGGTCCCTGTGACCGTCCCAGATTGGATCCTGCAACATTATCCGGGGACACATATATTTGCCTTCATTTGTGTATTAATATTGTTAGCTAGGAAATACTGTTTTAGAAAGCAGGGAGAGATTACTTCGGCTTATTTCAAATAGTAGCAGAACATCAACTTTCTAGATTGCTGTGTAATAACTGGAAAACGTTATTTGTTTAGTCACATGCTATTCATGCTGTCTTTCCAGGCTACCTAGTTCAAGCCAGTTTATAGGCGTATAAAAACATTATTTCAGTTCAATAATAAAACCAACCTAGAACAAGGATATAGGAACACTTAAATAGTACAACAATAAAACAAATTTAGTATTTTTTTAAATCAACTTGAAACCGATGCTCGCTATCGTAGAATCATTCATTCAAAAGTTGAGAATGGTAAAATTATTATGCAGATGATTAGCTTTAATCTCTGCAGTATGTTGAATAGCATCATCTGAATTAAAAACTACAGTACTTAAAACTGAAAAATGTCAGTCCTTCAAGGAATTATAAGACATGTGAATAATAGGCAAAGCAACAAATAGGGTCTCTGATACCAATCTTAATTTTTAAAAAAATATATTTATACAAATGTAGTAATCCTTTAGATCAGGGCTGGGCAATTTATTTTCCCAAGGGGCCACATGAGAAACTGGGATGGTTGTGGAGGGCTGAACCAATGTATACCCTGATTTGATGTCCTCAAACTCTGTCAACTCCTCAGGCTGCTCTAGGTGAGGGGGTGGGTGAGTCCTGCGTAAGGGCAGAAAAGTGCTCGCTCTGTGGCCACCAGCTGATTGAAGGGGTACGAAGCAATTGCACAGAGTTTGGCCTGACTCAGATGCTTTTCCTGCCCCCTGCAATACATTTATTTACATTTGATTTCTGATGACCAATTGACGCCATGTGAGCCAGATGGGGATAGTCAAAGGGCAGATATGTCCCAGGGGCCGTAAAATGCCCAGATCTGCTTTAGATTATGCCAGAAATGTATTAATCCCACTGCAATTAATACAAAATAACACAATAGCAATAGCAATAATAGCAATAACAGTAGACTTATATACCGCTTCATAGGGCTTTCAGCCCTCTCTAAGCGGTTTACAGAGTCAGCATATTGCCCCCAACAACAATCCGGGTCCTCATNAGGGAGAAGAATCAGTCACAAACCTGTAGTTCAGTAAACTAAATCATTTCTATTCTCTGACCATATTTCAGAGGTGCTATAACATATTAACCTAGTAGGAAGGGGTAAATAATGAGAAGGTCACTCAGATGGGTTTATCAAAAAACATTCCATTGCCATGTTGTTATTTACACTGTGTTTGCCTTTGTCTTGTCTTTGAAGTGTAGTAGGCCAGAGGTATATAAAGTGTGATTCTGCTTTGCTGGGAGCTGGGCGTACACTGTACTGATCCCTGCTTAATCAGTTCAAAGTGATTTGGTTGCTTTAGGGACAGCGGTTTCAGCCATAACAATGTCTAGAGTCAATTACTGTGTAGCAGTAAGAAGAGCCTCAATATTCTATAACGTTGCACACAATGTCTCATATCCTAGTTATGGTGTCATTATCATATTATGTTATTTAATCCAAAACCAACAAAATCAAACATAGTGCATTAAGTAGCTATCACAAAGATGGCTGGAATACCAATACGATGATTAATAGCTATCAAAGTGTAGCTGTTCATGGTCTATAATGTCATTTTGATAAGATATACAAGCAGTTGTATCACTGATGATTTATACCAAGAGTGTCAAACTCACGGCCCGTGGGCCGGATGCATCATGTGCTCGCTCTGCGCCCACCCAGTTTAGCGAAAGGAAGTCACAGGACACCACCGTGACGATGTGAGTTTGACACCCCTGGTTTATACCAAAGTTAGCATGAACTCACCCATACATAAAAGCAACTATCTGGTATTGTATCTGTATAATGAAACAGGTATGATCCCTCACTAATACGTTCAATGTCCAGTTTTATTGCAGTAATTACCACAGTCCTTCTAAATTATTGATGTGAAGGCAAGGCTGCACTTCATCACAGAGTATTAAGAAGCTTGCTTTTCTTCAGATCCTGTTACAGCAGTAATCCTCTTTCTGCTGAATAATCTGCACATGAGGGGAAGGGCTTTGCCAAAGGAACAAGTTGCTTGAAGCACCCTTTTTCCAACCTGGTGCCTTCTAGCAGCATTCACAAACTTCCAAGTTAAGACAGGGATTAGCAGTATTTTTCAGGTTGAAGGATATGCTTGGGTTTTTTTAATTTATGGTATGCTGAAAGCCACTTCCAAAAAACTGTGAAGGACCAGGAGAAGGAATATGCTTAGGACAAAAACTTAAGTTTGATTTGATTTGAATATACACCGACAGACAGATCTAATTTCATATGTATAAATTCAAGAAATATGATTGTTGGGTTAAGGCATAATAAAAAGTCTTAGTGTTGAAAGTCTTAAATGGCTTAGAAACTGAACTGCAACAGAATAAGGATTACATCTTTTGGCTCTAATAGCTGTTTTTTCCAATCCAATAAAAGAGAATATTTGTAACTCAGGATTGAAATGAGGGGCTCTTGGTGCTCTCTGAGTTTGCTTGTTTTCTTGCAGAGCAGGGGTGAAATTCAGCAGGTTCTGACAGATTCTGGAGAACCGGTAGCGGAAATTTTTAGTAGTTCAGGGAACCAGTAAATACCACCTCTGACTGGCCCCACCCACATCTATTCTCCGCCTCCTAAGTCCCAGCTGATCAGGAGGAAATGGGGATTTTGCAGTAACCTTCCCTTGGAATGGGGAGGGATTGGAGATTTTACAGTATCCTTGCTTTCTTTTGTGCTCTTGCTTTCTTTTGTGGTAATAGTTGTGAGATGCCTTAAATCTTCAGTGGAATAGAAAAAAACACAAGAACTAAGTTAAATGAATAAATAACATAAGTTTCCATGTTCTCTCACACCAAAAGCTTTGGGATGGTGTTCCATAGTACTTCCATGGGGATTGGGTCCCTCAGATCAAAGGAAACAGCCTAGGATTTATGTGGCATATTGAGCTTAAGTGATCCTTTGAGAGGAAAAGGAGAGTAGAAATTTAAACTCAAGCTTTATTAAATGGTGCTAGTTAGTTTAGAAAGAAATTTTTGCAATATTAATTTGTGAATTCCTACTTTCAGCTGTTTTTGTCATCAAGAGCTCGAGGATACAGCTATATCTGCCAGTCTGTGGATTACTCTGATAATGAATACGAAGTTAGGGTGAGTAGCAATAACAATTATTCCTATATCACTTAAATTATTTTTATAGGTTATTTTTATACTCTGTCTCTTCCTGTCCTCTAGTGAAAAACTATTT